GGTCATGCCCCTGGTGGCAGATCTGGGACCCCTTTGCTAGCTGACCAAGAAGACTGTCATTGGATAGAGCACACCCTCCCCTTTCACAGTCTCTCTGCTCCTGTTTGAGAGGAGACCACCCACCCCGGCACACCTCCCACCATGATCCTCCACAGGTACAAGCCCTGGACCCACCCAGATTACAAGCTGAAGGGTCCCTTGTGCTTCCTCAATCAGCTACCCCTGGCTTCTCGTGGTCACACACGCTGCACGAGCTTTGCAGACAAAGAATGTAAACCTCTTGAATCTTGAATTCTAAGCACTCCTGGCTTCACCCTGGTCCAGCTCGGGCCACTGAAGACATTTGGGAGATGAACCAGTAAATGGAACATCTCTCCTCTCTGCTTCTCCCTGTCTCTCTGCAAATGTGTCTTGAATCAAATCAATGCATTTATCATTTAAAAGATGTTATTGGGACTGCTTCTCCATTGTTAGCCAAGAATCTGCTGTAAAACAGGCACACATATTCACAACTTTGTTGCACTTGTTGTGTGGATTATATGAGTGGGTTCCTTTAAGTATCCAGCACAAGGAAGTGTGGCCTCTTAGTCACGCCAGAGATTTTCTCCCACAAGCTTTATGGCCTCAGCAGCTCCCTGCTCACAGATGCTGGGAAAGGCTTTGATTTACACAGACATGTAAATCAGAGCATCTCCAACTTAGCAATACCATCACTTCATTTATTAGGAGTACACAGCCAAGGTTAGACCCACCTGTGCCCACAGAATCTGGGGTGGAATCCTCCTTGGGATCCCAGTCGCCCCTAATGAACGCATGTCTCCTCTCACGTCCAAACTGGAAAGACACCGGAGAACTGAGATTGATGCTTCCTCGGCACTCGGGACGGGGGCTGTATTTCACACACGCTCCTAGCAGACACTGGGACGTGATGAGCAGGCGAAATCTTGTGAGCATGTGCAAGAAGAAGCCTGGAGCTGTGGCCTGGCTGTCCACCCACAGCACCTGTAATGGAGCAGCCCTGACAAGCCTTATGAGTGAGATGAGCCTCGGCTTTTTCCCCCATCAGTCCAAACAATGATAATACAGCCAGGTTAGAGAGTGTGGCGGTCTGAGTGATGACCCTGATTTGTTGTGGCATCTCTTGTATGGGAAAGCTTTAAGATGAACTGGCAGGTTGGCTTTGTAGTGCATCAGGTGAAGCGGGCACCTGCAATGCAAGCATCCCATATGGACACTGGATTGAGTCCTGGTTGCTTTTCTTCCCATCCAGCTCCCTGCTGATGTTCCTGCAAGAGCAGCAGAAGACGGACCAAGTCTTTGGGCCCCTGCCACCCAAGTGGGAGACCAGAAGAAACTCCTGGCCCCTGGTTTCACTCTGGCCTTTGCAGCCATTTGGGGGAATGAACCAGCAGATAAAAGATCTGCCTCAGAAGCATCAAAGCAAGGCGCTTCCATACCTCTCAGCGGTTAGGCTGCTAATGGCAACCAAGGTTGGAGAAGGAGTGTGGAGTCCTAAACAATCCTACATCTTTCTCACCGCGTCTGGGGCATGGGTGCCAATTTTTTTTTCCCCCACCAGAACAGAACAAAATTTTCAGTCTGATTTCTATAAACTTTTGGAAGCATCCTTCTATGGATGCATAGCTGCTTATAGGAAAATATAATTAATTTCAGAAAGGAAAAGATCAAATAGCCACATAAAGTATCTATTTCATTATAGTGCACCTGTCGACATTTGGTTAGAACCTTAACCAAGAATGAAAGGTTCTGTGGATATCAATTAAAATGGTGGAAAGGGCGCAGTGAGTTAAGCCACTGCTTGGAGCACCAGCGTCTTATATTGGAGCACCGGTTCAGTTCCAGGCTATTCTATTTCAGATCTAGCTCCCTAGCCACACATCATGGGAGGCAACAGAAAATAACTCAAGTGCTTGAGGGACCCTGTCACCCACATAGGAGACCAGGCACCAGGCTTCACGCTGGCCCAGCCCAAGCTCCTGCAGGTATTCAAGGAGTAAGCCAACAGATGGAAGATTCTCCTCTCTGCTCATGTCACTTTGCTTTTCAAGTAGATGAAAACAAATCAATAAACATTTAACAACAAAATGAAAATGCCACTAGAAAAACTAACACATTTGCTGAAATGTCTCCGAACTAGAGAGACAGAGAGAGCAAAAGCTATCGTTTCCCAACATGTGCCCCGGAATTGAAAGCCGGGGTCAGCAAATGTGTTCTGCCAATGACCAGGGAGTGAATAGTTTAGTTGTTATGGGCCAGGCCCAGCCAAAGGCAATACATAAGCAAATGAGTGTGGCTGAACCCCAATAAAACTTCATTTGAGAGCACCAAGATGGGAATGTAATGTAATTTTCACAGATCATAAAACATCATTCCTCTTTTTAATTTTTCCCCATGATTCTTATCTCACAGGCTTGTAGAAAGCCAGGCAGCAGGCTGAGCTTGGGCCCCAGATAGAAGCTGCCAACCCCCCTTCAAGGCTGGCTTCTCAAAGTAAGCCCCGCAGTCTCCCAGCATCCGCAGCACCAGGAACTTGCTAGACTAACAGACCCTGCAACCCAACCCCGGAAGCTCCCCAGGACACTCTGACTTACAGCAACATCACCACGTGTTAGGTTGACACCATGTTGAGGTAGGGCCAGCTAAGTCACCACCTGCAGCACCCATGTGCTTTCTCACCAGCCTAACGTGATTTTCAATGGCTCTGAAACAGTTCACTTCTCAGCAGAAATTGCGGCCTAGTAAACCGGAGACCATTATCTAAGATCGCAGTGTCATCCTGAGAGTCACACAAGGTCCCTGGGCACATGAAAGGACAGTGTCCAGGTCCCCAGGGCTCGACATCCTCTTTGAACCCCGCCCCTCGAATGTTCACAACAAAAATCTCTACCCGCTCCCCAGGGATCGCCCTGCAGCTGGACCCCACACTGCCCTTTAATTCCTTGAAATTTATCTCCCATGAAGCTGCACAGTGTTTTTACAACTTATCTTTCTAGTTAGAGACTGTAAATTTTCCCTCTGCTGAGTCTCATAACCGACTGACTAGTTTTCGTGATATTTGTAGGGCTCAGGAAAAGAAGGCGGGGGGGGGGGAGAGATGCAATTCCCTTATTTGACAATCCTGACATTTATTAGCATAATAAAACTCTCAAGATGAAATTGCACTTTTCCAGGCAGTAATTTCATTTGCAGGACAACTTACAAGGAATTTATTTTAAAGCCAGGTAACACAGCAAAAAGATGACACATGCAGAAAAACGCAGGCCCCAAATAAAATGGATACAAATGTGTGCGGGATGGAGAACGTAGCTGTAGCCTCGCACGTATGCATCAGCAGCGACAGGAACACCAGTCCTGGGGGAGCCAGGTTCTTGCCCGCCTGGTCTGTGTTCCAAGCTGCCGCCTGGAGTTCTCTTCCCACCCCTTGGAAAAATCCCTGTCTACTCCAACACGTCCCTACTAGGCACAACAGCGTGCTGCCTTTATGGTTGTGGCTAACAACTCCTTTTATCTGGAAAGAACTTCTGAAATGGCCATTTAACTGGTCTGCTCCCAAACCTAACAACACCTCACACACACACACACACACACACACACACACACACACACACACACTGCCCTTCTCAGTCTCATTGAGATTCAGTGATGCCAAATGACTTCACAAAGCCACATAGCCAGTGAGCAACAGAGCCAAGACTAAAGCTCGGTTCTTCGGAGTCCCAGTGGAAATCAGGTCATTTGGCGAGGGCGTATTGGCTTAGCTAGCTAATCCTCCCCTTGCAGAGCTGGGATCCAATATGGGTGCTGGTTTGAATCCTGTCTGCTCCACTTCTGATCCAGCATCCTGCTAATGGCCTGGGAAAGCAATGGGGAATAGCCCAAGTCCTTGAGCTCCCACAGCTACATGGGAGACCTGGAAGAAGTTGCTGACTCTGGACTTCAGATGAGCTCAGCTCTGGTCATTGCAGTCATTTGAGGAGTGAACCACCTTCCGTCTCTGTAAATCTGCCTCTCAAATACAAATAATACTAAAAATAAAAGGAAGAAAGACACCAAGTAACTTTCCAGACAGTTGGTAATGATCCTAAAGCACTTTTAGAGTTCAGAAAATGGGCTCCCTCTGGCACTTCCTTTCGCCTATTCGGCAAGACGGGCAGACAGGAGTGCAGCCACAGCATTGAACTGCAATGTAATACTGTGTATTGGGGCCTGACCCTTGCTTCCCCCAAAACGCAGAGCCCACATGGACAAAGCACAGTGCTGCCAACTGAATGAAGAGTGGGATCCCAGAGAGGCAGGGCAGGAGGGCAGCAGAGAAGAACAAACAAGCAGGCAAGGGTCCAGCAGTCCAGCCTCCACTGGGCCTTCACATAGCTCCGCTCTCTCTTCCAAGGCCCCAGACCCTCGTCTGGAGGAGAAGTGCTGAGCCGGTCTCAGCCCCATCAGTTTCAGACTTCAGTTTCCCAGTCCTTCCGTCTCCTGCCTGCCAGTGAGCTCAAATTCCAAAGGGCCGCGCGGACAGAGCTAACCACTGGAGTACCCGCAGGACCTCAGCCACGCCCTAGATAGTCAAGGCCACCTCGGGCATCCACAACCTTCTCTTGGATTTGCAATTCACCCGAGGTCCTAAGACACTCAGTAAGAACACATAAAGCACTGCCTCACTATTACAAAAACAGGGCGATAATGTGATTTGAAGTGAGAGGAAGGCGGAAGAAGGGGCGTTAAATACAGAAGGCAGGGCAGCATCAGTCATTTGTCCTGGATGCTGGGACTCCAAATACTCAGGTAATTCCCACAACAATGTCAGTGTGGGTGCTAATGAACACCATGAACCATGCGGCACCAAAGTTCTCCAGTTAAACCCTTTGAAACCCTTTCTTTGCTTATCATTGTGCTTTAATGGAGCAGGAAGAAGGAAAGAACTAATGAAAGACATTGTTGATGTTGGAAACTTTCAGAAGCTGATTCATTCAGCAAACGTGTAGTTAGGGCTCAGCACTGAAGTTCTTCCGGGTTATTCCCAGAGGATTGATGCCCTCTGAGAGCTCAGTTCACAGTGGCCTGGACCAACAGCATTTGCATGAAATGAAAGAGTTGCATCAACCCTGCCTGAGCAGTTTCTGTCCTGACCACCAGGGTGGGACCGGCGGCACACACGCCATATAGTTCTCCCCTGAGTCCTAATCATCGACTTGCTCCTCTGAAGGGTGCTGGATCTTCTCAAAGGCCACGAGGAATCAATCTGGTAAATTCTGAATCAGAATTCATTAAAGGATTCCCAAAGGAATCCAACGGATAGAGTGAAAAAGAAAGAAACAGTCATTCAAACAGCAGATGGTAGTCTGGCGGGCTGTCCCTCTGGCCACAGGCTTCTTGCAGCAGCTCTCCTCCAGAAACGGTGATGATTTCTTCCTGAAAAACAACCAAACAAAAAAAAATTCACTTGGAATCAAGAAATGGAAATAAGCATCCACCAGAGAGACAGGTTCAAGACCAAAACATCAGGTATCTGTTCATAGAAATTGCTAACACTGATGGGGAAAAACATTCCTTTTAAAATACATTTATCTGGGCCTGGCACAATAGTCTAGCACCTAAAGTCCTCTGCCTTGCATGCGCTGGGATCCTATATGAGTACCGGTTCATGTTACAGCTGCTTCTCTTCCCATCAAGCTCCCTGCTTGTGGCCTGGGAAAGCAGTTGAGGATGGCCCAAAGCCTTGGGACCCTGCACCTGCATGGGAGACCCGGAAGAAGCTCCAGGCTTCTGGCTTTAGAATGGCTCAGCTCCAGCCATTGCGGCCACTTGGGGAGCGAATCAGCAGATGGAAGATCTTCCTCTCTGTCTCTCCTTCTCTCTGTATGTCTGACTTTCCAATAAAAATAAATAAATTTTTAAAAATACATATATTGAAGTTAACAAAGTGAAAAAGGAAACCCATGAGCAAAGCAAAAACTTGAGGAATCCTTGGAGGGTGAGGGCGGTGGAGAGAGACTATGGGATGAGATTTTCAAAGTTAATATGGGCCCATATTAACAAACGGGGGCCTCCCCCAACCATGAAATAAGGAAAGCACGTGCCTTCCTGGGAGGCCAGAGCCCAGGGACCTCAGACCCATCCAAGGCAAGAAAAGCTCTCTGCTCACAACTCCAGATCCCACAGCATGCAGAGAGTGGATTTGGGCAATAGAACCTGGCTCCCAAAGTCACATGGGAAATTAAAACTTGGAAGATCATTTACATATTTATAAACATTTAAGGAAACTTATAAACTTTTCAGTGAAAAAGTCATAATCATAAAGGAAAGATGCCAACCTCAACAGTAAGACTGACTCCCAAGAATCTATTAACTCCACTAACCAAACAACAAAAACAGCCTTTAAGAGGGGAGTATTAATCTCCTCCATGGGATAAGAAGTTAAGTCATCCATGAAACAAGATTGGGCTCTAATAAGAATGTAAAAAGAGCCAATTAAGGAGCCTGGAAATGGAAAGTACCATCATATCCATGAAAATGAGAAAGTTGAGGAATAGTACTGGAAGCAGAACGGCCAAGGTGATAAACAGGTTTCCAGAAGTAACCCACGTGGCTATAAGCAATGCAAAGTCTCAACATCAGTGGCAATCAGAGAAATGCAAGCTAAACAACAGTGAGCTACAGGGTCTACTCAACTGATGGGGGAAAACATAAATGACTGCAGCAATGCGGGGACACGCCCTCACCGAGTGGGACAGATCTCGAAGCAGGGACATGCTTGTGGAGGGCAATCTGACAGATCTAAGTAACACGTGCATGCTCCCCTCTCCAGCAATGCCTGTTCAAGGGACCCACCTAAGAGAAAGACCCCCACAGGCATCCACAATGGCTTACCTAGGGGAGTCTCTGCAGCAATTCTGGGCTGTGAAACATGGGAAGCCACAGAAGTGGGCAGGTGGCCCTCAGACCTAATGGTCAACATGTTCCAGCAATACCAGCACTGCTGGAAACCCATAGGCCGTATCCTATCCTGGGCACTGCTCAAACTGGGAGTGGGCAAAAGGCCGTGCAGGCAATGGTGCAGCCACAGCACAGGATCACGGAGGGTGGAGAGTGGTGAGCCAGAAGCTGTAACTACAGAGACCATGGTGGAAGCCTAGCACAAAAGCCCAAGACTGGACCAAGCACGATAGCATAGTAGTTAAAGTTCTCGCCTTGCACGTGCCGGGATCCCATATGGTTGCCAGTTCTAATCCCGGCAGCCCTGTTTCCAATTCAGTTCACTGCTTGTGGTCTGAGACAGCAATTGAGGACAGCCCAAAGCCTTGGGACTCTGCACCCCCACCTGGGAGAGCTGGAAGAGCTCCTGGCTCCTGGCTTTAGATTGGCTCAGCTCCAGCCGTTGTGCTCACTTGGGGAGTGAACCATTGAACGGAAGATCTTCCTCTCTGTCTTTCCTTCACCTCTGTATATCTGCTTTTCTAATAAAAATAAATAAATCTTTATTTTTTAAAAAAAAAAGCCCAAGACTGAAACTCACTGGAAGGAGTGACACAAGCGACTGCGAAGGACGAAACAGGTTCCAAACACAAACAATAACATGGATCTGTAGACTAGTTGGCAACACAAATTAGAAACTGGCCCTAGGGGCACACAGCGTGATGGCCTAGTAGCTAAACCTTTGTCTTGCATGTGCCAGAATCCCATATGGGTGCTGGTCCGTGTCCCAGCTGCTCCACTTCCCATCCAGGCCCCGGGGGCAGGATCACAGGTGTGACTCAGGGGATGAACCAGAGCTTGGCCTCTGTCGCTCAGAGCCTGCACCTGTTCTGGCTCACTCTGCAGTTCTGGTTTGCACCTCCTCTCTCCTCCCACCCAGCACGCCTTGGGGGCCACCTTGTGGAAGTCGATGAGATCGGAGAGCGTGGCGTGGCGGTTGGCGTCCACCCCCAGAAAGCTGTAGAAATCCCCAGAGGCATCCACCAGGAAGTGCTTGAACCCCTTCTGCAGGCGGTAGGAGAGGGTGTACCCCCAAATCTTCTCGCTGACCCTGACCAGAAACGCCCCCTCGGCCATGTTCTCCAGGAGATCTTCTGCATATTCTCGGCTGATGATTCCTGACGGACAGAAGAAAACCGATTAGAAAGTCAGCAACGGCTTCTGTCTGCGCCTCATCCTGCAGCATCTCACGGGTCAGGAAGGCACTGGCCAGCTCCAACCACAGTCCACAGAGAACATACCCTGGCCCCCAAACAAGAGCTGGGAGCCTGACGGCAGAGCTTCTACTAGGAGCTGAACTGAGTGTGCTGTTCTTCCAGTGACGCCACATTCACTGGGTGAGCAAGGAATGACTGACGAGGTGGAACTCTGCTTTCCCAGGGCATAACCAGGGAGCTGGATGGGAAGTAGAGCAGCCAGGACATGAACTGGCTCCCACGTGGAATTGCCTCACTTAGAAGTGGAGGATTAGCTGGTCTAGCCAAAATAAATAATAAATCTTTAAAAGAGTAACATGTTGGGCCCATTGCTGTAGCCTAACAGCTAAAATCTTCACTTTACACGCACTGAAATTCCATATGGGTGCACTCATCCCAGACAGTTTCTAGACAAGGACTCAAGGACTGGACACAGGATTCTGCAAGGGCTGTACTGCCCAGGGCCAGGCTTGGCTCCAAGACCCCCAACAGCCTGACCAAGGTGTCCCCTGGGCTACACTCCTGCTGTAGGCTCTGCCTACCCCTCTCCTTCCATCCCTCTCTCACCATGTCAGAGCCGCCCCTCATTCTGAAGGGTCTCCCCACCCCTGCAGCCTCTCGTCTCGGCCCTTTCTAGGGTTTTCTGCCCACCAGTCATTTGTGCTTCTGCCTCCCTAAAGGCCTGGGCTGACCTAGCATCTCCATCTGTTCACACGAAGTGCCTAGGAAGGCAAGGAGCATGTTTGCCGCAGGGAGCCACAGCCTGAACCCAAACCCCAAGTCATGGGTCTGACCCAGCAGCAGCCCGGGAGGGCTTCCTCGATCCTCCCTGAAGCCTGCTTTGCCATCCTCATCTGTTAAGTCATGCAATCACACTTATAAAGGGACTTGAGAATTAACACACGCGTGAAAGTTCTTAGCAAACATGACTACATGCAACAACATAGAACTAAGAAGGCATGATTGCTTGTGTTCAATCCATTGGGAATCCCACACATGTTAGCAATAAGGCCAGCATGCGCAGGTACCAGTGGCCATGAGTCCACCACCCCACAACCCAATCTCCTCAACCATGGGCTGCTGAGGGAGATGTCCTCAGAGGTGCCCCAGCCCCGGTCCCTGCAGCCTAATGAAGTTGGCTGGGCTGCTCCCGGAGGCGCTGAGGGTGACTCAGAAGGAAGTGTCTATAAAGTCTGCATTCTCTGCTACACTGACCCAGAAATCACAATGGTAACGTGGCGTGAGGCCAAGCTAATGCAGCCTCCCAGCTCAGGATGCAAAGAACACTTCCCAGAAGATCCAACCCCCAAGAGGTGCGAACAGGAAGCTTGCAAGGAGCTGCTCTGCCTCCTTTGCCCCCTACACGTTGCCCCCTCCCTGGACTGTCTTTCAGGCAAGAGGGCGGAGTTAGCAAAGATCAATCACCCTCCAGTCACCCCACCTCTGCCTCTTAAACAAGCTCCACCCTCCTCAACCCTCCCAGCTGGGCAGCAAATACAATGGGCAGGATTTTGACGACTTTCTAATTCCACCAACCACCGAGGCTGGTGGAGGGATAACAGAGTTTTTTCACAGCTGCCTTGTGGGTCCTTCCTTCCCAAGAGCATCCGGTATCAGGAGCTTCACATGCTGAATGCCTAAGGGAATGTGTGGGCCAGTTACTGATGAGCAAAACCAACTCTTGCCCCCAAGACTTGCTGCGTGTAGAGCAAGAACTGTGAGGATCCTGCCAAGGAAACCTGCTGCGGCTGACCCACACGAGCCTCCAGGGGCAGATCAGCTGTAAGGCTGAGCACAGCATAAGAAGCAACACCACCAGGTCTACTAGTTTGTGTTGTTTCTCTCTCTCTTTTAATCTTTTATTTATTTAGAATGCAGAGACACAAAGACAAAGATCTTGTACCCGGACCTGGTGCAGTAGCCTAACAGCTAAAGTTCTCACCTTGAACATACCAGGATACCATATGGGCACCGGTTCTAATCCCAGCGGCCCCACTTCCCACCCAGCTCCCTGCTTGTGGCCTGGGAAAGTAGTTGAGGACAGTCCAAAGCCTTGGGATCCTGCACTCATGTGGGAGACCCAGAGAAAGCTCCTGGCTCAGCTCTAGCCTTGGGACCCTGAACTCAAGTGGAAAACCGGAAGATGCTTCTGGCCCCGGGCTTCAGATTGTCTCATCTCTGGCCATTGCAACCATTTGGGGAGTGAACCAGCAAATGCAAGATCTTTCTGTTTCTCCTCTTTCTGTAAATCTTATCTGCCTTTCCAATAAAAATAAACATATACTTTTTTTAAAGTCAGAGACAGAAATAGACAGAAGTGATTTTAGGAAACTAAGGCCCAACAAACAAATCAAGGGCCTTGAGAAGAACGGAGGAGGGTGCACCTGAGCCCACCTGTAGATGCCTGGAGTTCCTCCGAGACCACACTCAAGGCCAGCCAAGTAGCTGCAGCAGCCCCAGCCAGGCCAAGATGGTGAATAGACACTCATGGGGGGCCGTATTCCCTTCCCACATAGGGGGAAGCAGTGGCAGCAGAGGCAGAAGGGAAGATGTGAACTGGCCTAGCCGGCAAGTCCAAGTTTACTGTCACACTACCAGCATCAATACTGCTGCAGGCAGGCATCCAGCACCCAACTCCCAGTATTTCTGCACCTTTCAATCCTAATCCTGGGGGGGGGTCTTTCTGACACCTCCCCTAACCACCTGTCTGGATTCCTCATGAATGCCCTCAAATAATACCAACAACTTCAGGTTCACCAACAAAATACTTACTCCACTGATGCCAATCGGCAGCAGCCCCAGGAAAGGGAAGGCACTTTATGCTCTCAAAGGACCTGGCGCTCTAATGGACCCATAAATCCTCCTGTTAGCAAATCCTCCAAGCCGACCGAGGCCTCCATGCCCAGCCCCTCCTCTGCCTCCGTTCCATTCCCTGAAATCATTAGCTCGGAATTGAACCTGAGTAACCAAACGAGCTCTTTTTATTTCTCTGTTAGCATTTCACCCTGGATAGGAAGAAGCCAAGGCAGACCAGCCACGATGTTTTCCTTTTTATGGGTCTCAATTTATCGGACATGCATATTTCTTCAAGCTTTCACCGCAGCAACGCCTCACCAGCTGACAACTCCTCCATTACCGCTTCGCTATTTCTCATTCATTTTTGTGACTTCCCTTTCTTATTGCCAGGCTTTCCAGATGATATCATTAAAGAGGTTGGAAGCTCTTGGATCTCAAAGGTGTCTCAAAGCATCCTAAAGTCACAGAGATGGTGACGAATGAGTTCAAATGCCTTCATTTTTTATCACTGCAAATGAAACTTAACCACAGCTAACTGCTGAGACAAGGGTTTCTCAGAACGGACTTATTAGCTCTAGATGTGTTTATGCACGAGAGGCAGCATCCACGCCCACGGCAGTCTGCTCCAAGCAGATGTGCCGGGTTGTAATCATTAATGTCATTTCTGATGGGGATACAGGAGGTAGCACCAACCAGCCAATGACCCGGGCACTGGCTACACGGAGTCCTACGTAGCACTTACTACACTGGGCATATATACTGATGGCGTGGCCCTTTGCTTAACGTCACTCCTGCTGATTACACTGGCAGTTTCACGAGAGCAGAGATCATGCTATTTTTCTCCCCATGGTGGCGATGGCCCATGATATTCAGTCATCTTCTGGTATGAGAACTGTGACCTTCTCTTAGGAAGCCATGTGTGGAGTCCATCTGTGCCATAGGGTGAATTCCACCCACCGCCCCTGCTATAGTTTGAATATGATTTGATCCCCTCAGACCACACAGGACTTTAAACCCAAGAATACAACACAGTTCTTCCTAGGCGAAGAAACTTGGCCACTCTCCATGTGAGAGTCTTTCCCTTCCGTTCTGCCATGCATCACGAAAAACTTGGTCACTAAATAGCTCCACTCCGCGTGTGAGCAACATCCCCGCATGCTTGATTGGTGCAACTGTCAGAAGATTGCAAAACCGGTTACATAAATTGTGAGATTTAAATCTTGCTTCTGTTTGCTTGGTGACAATACAGAAATTAACTTTTTCTTCCCCCATCGCAGTAGAGAATAAAGCTGAAGATAAATGAAAACACCTCGGCTGCACCCTCCCCCTTAGTTCCTCCACATAAGCAGGCGGTTAAGCTGCACGATCTATTCTAAGATTCCAGCAGCCTTTGCTGGGTAAGGGCCATGCCCACAAATGGCCCATGAAGACTCCACTCCCCCAGCTGCCTGGGGACTCTGGGGGTCCAAGCATCTCACCCACCTGTCTATTTATTCAGCTGGGTAGAGCCAAGAACATGCAGGAGCTGGCCAGCCGGGAGAGAGGCAGTGGCCACCATTAGGGCAAAAATAGGTGAAGACAGAGGCTGAACAAGCTCCCAGGAGACTAGCAGGAATGGACCGGAGACAGGTGACAGTCAGGTGGGAGTTGATTTTGGCAGTGCAGATCGGTTCCAGCCACAGGGTCCCAGACAAACCCGAATTCTCTACTGCTGAAAGGGAAAAGCTCTGGGAGCAAAACCAAGATGCACTTTATGCAGAAAAACCAGCAGGTTGGGCCAGGCTGCTGCAGGATGTGCAGCAGGAAGGATGTGTCTCGGAGCAGACCATCCCGGATTGGACAGCATCCCCACTGAGCTGCCAGCTGCCCAGACTCACGTGACCAAGGTCAGTGAAGCACCCTCGAGTCTGATCTGTACTAGGAAAATTGCCAAAACAAAAAAAGAAAAGAAAAGAAAAATTGCCCAGCTGGTTAAGAAACTCACAAGTCAAGACCAAGTGCTTGTCTTCATGGGCTCAGTGTTGGGGTACTTTTCTGTACAGCGGCAGCCAGTCACACAGAGGGAATGAGTGGCCAGCGGCCAGTCCTATATCCCTGCCCCACGTCTCTGCTAAAGTCACACCCAGTTTCCCGTTTGGGGAATGTGTGTGTCCGCAGCACTGGACTGCAACCCTGAGTCTTGAGATCCCTTCTTGAACTTGTCAGTCCCTTGGTGACCCCCTACACTTCCCCTTTTGGAGTTTCCCTGCTCTTATCTGTGAGATGACGACTGCGATGCCGAGGAGGTCCCCAGCTCTTACGTTTGGTCTGGATCAGACCCTGATCTCTTCACTCCATCAACAGATTGCTTACAGGGCCAAGGGTGCACCTGCAACAGAGCCTACCAGGGGCCAGGGTCTAGGGGTGCAGGCTCAGACACAACAACGAGGGGCCATCCCACCTGGAGCTTCTGGTCCAGTGAGAGCTCACCGTCCTATGGGAACAGAGGCAAGGTCTCTCGACGCCTTACAGGAGCTGCTGGGACCTGAATGTGTCCCCCAAAAGCTTACACATGAGATCTGTAATCTTGCCACCCTCCAGGCCACTCACTGTTAGCAGAGACTTTGATTCCCCCCCTCCAAGATGGTATTTCAGGCTAGTAACTTGTTCTGCCCCGCCATGTGGTGCTTTCTGCAACCAGGTGGCGCAGCACGAGGCCCTTGCCAGACGCAGAGCAGACCCAGTGCTGTGTTCTTGAACTTCTCAGCTTCCAGAATCCTGAACTCAATCAACTTCTGGTTTTGCATGAATGACTGGGTCACAGGTGTTGAATTGGAGCAACAGGAAACGGATTAAGCCTGGAACCGCGGCAGCCACAAAGGCCACGTGGTGGCAGTAGAGGGCAGAATAACACTTGTCCCCTGCACAAAGAGGATGGCCCCAGGCTCACTCCTGGGCCCTCCCTTCTCCCAGATCCCACTCCAAGATGCTGCGGAAGAAGCCCAGAGAGGGTGCGGCCTCAAGTTTCTACCTCTGACAGGAGCAGTCCTTCAGAACCCACAACCCAACCCAAGAGAGAGGCGAAGATGCAGCCAACACCTGCCCCAAGGCCTGGAATGGGATCCTACCATGAAACCAGGGGGCAATGCCCCTGCTGTTCCTCTCAAAGCCAGCTCGGCGAGGCAGCTGCTCCTCCTTGAACCACCGGATGATGACCTCCCTGGAGACAGGACGCAGTGGCCGCTCCCAAGTCCTGCCGAGGAGAGAGGAGGAGAAGAGTGGGAGAGTCAGGGATGGAGGGAAGAAGGGGAGTCGGGGAGGGCTGCTGAGAAAAAGGAGTGTGCATCACGTCCAGAGAGAGGACTCAGTGAGCCCGGGTACTCCAAGGCCCTTGGCAGGCTGCAGAGCACCAGCTGTCATGTCATATTCCCTCCCCGCCCTCAAAACGCCTGGCAGGTAGGAGTGAGAAGAGGCTAGGAGGGGCTATCTGAGAAGGGCCATGGGGGAAATATGCAGGGTATCAGCATAGCTTCCCAGGCATTGGTGAGGCAGAATCAGGACGAGAGAGAGAGAGAGAGAGAAAGAGAGAAACTTCCACCTGCAATTCCCATGAGGTCATGGGCAGACGAGTCGGAGAAGGGGGCAAACAAAACTGCAACTTGGCTGAGAGTGGACAAGGGACCAATAGGCTGAAGATTCAGAGAGAGGTGAGGAGGAACACGGGAAGGGCAGGAGAGATTAATTGAATACTTTTTTTTTTTAAAGAAACATCTTTTATTTATGATGTAAGCTGCAAATACGCAGAGTGACATACAGACAGATTTTCCATCCACTGGTGGGTTCCCCAGATGGCTGCAGTGGCTGAGGCTGGGCTGAAGCCAGGAGTTTGCAACCCCCCTTGGGTCTCCCATGTGGGTGGCCGGGACCCAAGCACTAGGACTCTCCTCTGCTGCTTTCTCAAGCACCTAAGTAGGGAGCCAGACGAAAAGAGAAGCAGCCAGGCCTCAAACCCATGCTCACTTGGGACGCTTGATCGCAGGTAGCAGGTTACTACACTATACCACAACACCAGCCCCCAAACAGATTTTTTTTCCAGTATGTTTTCATGTGCACCGAGACTGTCATGGCTTTGTGTCTGAGCTATGGTTCTTGAACTCTACAGAGTGGCCATACAAGACCCCTGCTGGGGCTAGGGCTGGGTTGTGGCGTAGCACACAAAACTACTACCTGAAGCATCAGCATTCAGCCACCAATGCCATCCTGGCCCCTGGGGCTCCATCTTCAATTCAGCACACTGCTAATGACCTGGGAAAACAGTGAAAAATGGCCCAAGTGCCTGGAAGACCCAAAAGAAGCTCCTGGATCCTGGCTGCAGATCAGCCTCGCTCTGGCCATTACAGCCATTGGGGGAGTGAACCAGCGGATGCAAGATCAATATCTTTCTCTCTCTCTGGCTCCAGTTATCCCTCTCTGTGTAACTCTGCCTTTCAAATAAATAAATAAATAACCTTGGGCCCGGCGCAGTAGCCTAGCAGCTAAAGTCCTTGCCTCGAACACGCAAGGGTCCCATAAAGCACCAGTTCATATCCCAGCTGCTCCACTTTCCATCCAGCTCCCTGCCTGTGGCCTGGGAAAGCAGTCGAGGACGGCCCAAAGCCTTGGGACCCTGCACCCGTGTGGGAGACCCCGGAAGAGCTCCTGGCTTCAGATTAGCTCAGTTCTGGCCATTGTGGCCACCTGGGGCCACAAGATAAATAATCTTTAAAAAAACAACAAACAAACAAAAGAGACCCTACTGTTTTTGCATTACACTAAGAGTCTGACAGTATGTGACACATCACAGATCCTCCACTTCTGTTGGATATCCTCCATCTGTTGGATAAATCCATGGTACAGCTGCACTATACTGATCTACGGTTGGGAAATACAACCTCTGAGCAACCAGGGTCATGACCTACCTCAAACACCCACGACCTCTTTGGTGTTTCCAGCTGAGTGACAGGAACCTAGTAGATGCTTATTTTGTCCTTGCTACCCACCTCATCATCCTGGCATACTGAGTTCACCACTGTTGTCGCTTTCTGTTTGACAAAAGAAATGCCAGCTCTCCTCTCTGGCTGCCCCCAGCCAGACCTCTGAGACAAGCTCAGCTCTGCCCTGCAAGCTGCTTGTGTGTTTTACCTGCCCTAAAATGAATGCATTTCACATGCACACATCCAGAAACGGCAGTTGGATATTATATGTTCCAGGAAGGACGTTAGAATAAACACAGAGGGGAGCGGTGTTGTGGCATAGTGGCCTAAGCCACAGCCGGCAACACCAGCAACCCAGACAGGTGCTAGTTCACATCCCAGCAACCGTAGTTCCAATCCAACTCCATGCTGATGTGCCTAGAAAAGCAGCAGAGGACAGCTTTCAGTTCCTTGAGCCCCTGCACCCACATGGAAGACCTAGAAGAATCTCCTGGCTCCTAGCATCAGCCTGGTTAAACCCTGGCTGTTATGGCCATTTGAAGAGTGAACCAATAGATGGAAGATATCTTTCTCTGTCTGTCTGTCTGTCTGTCTGTCTCGCTCTCGCTCTATATTCCAAGTAAGTAAATTAATACTTTAAAAAAAGAAGAACCAGAGTCTCCTGGCCCGGGTCCTTGGGCCTGCTTGTGCAATGGGTGCTGGGTCTGTGAGCCCTGGGGGAAGTGGGCCCAGTAGGGCCCAGATCACTTGGCGTGGGTCCTTGGGCCTGCCTGTGCGGTAAGCCCCTGGGTTGGGGGCAGCCTGGTGGGGCCCGGATCACCTCACCCAGGTCCTTGGACCTACCTGCACAGTGGGTGCTGGATCCATGAGCCTCAGGGGCAGCATGGGAGGGGAAGGTAAAGGTCCAGCGGGGCCCAAGTCACCTAGCCTGGGCCCTTGGGCCTTCCTGGGAGGGCTTGTCCTCCTCAGTGCAGGAAACAGAGCAGTGGACAGCAGGCCCAGATACACACAGAGAATATGGCAGCCCATTGGAGCCTGCAGAGGACATCTGGTGCCATGAAAGAGGAAGAACAGAGGAAATTGAACAAACCCAGCCAAATGTTTGACAGCAAAAATCGAGGTGAATGGAAACTGTAAGGTCGACCGTGCCAGCCTTCAATCAGTGAGATCGACAGCATTGCAGAACTAACAAAACCACTCGGGCAGACCCCTCGGAGCAAGCACTACATCAGGACCTGCGTCGACAATGGGGTGGCCACTGCCCATCCCCAGTACTGGGGTGGTTGGGAGGCCGGGTATGGCTTCTCCCCTTGTCTCTTCCCCCGATACAGGAAGAAGAAATAAAATTTGAAAACAATGATAACACGTACTTTCCCCTAACCCTTAATCCTTCCCACTCTGATCAACAATGTAAACATCTTCAAAAATAAAAATTTAATTTAAATGAATAAGGAAGAAAGGAGGAGGTGAGGTTCTATCGCATATGTTATGGCCCCAATCTTGTTCTCCAAGGGCTGTCACGTCTGCACCTCTCCAGACTCGGCTTTCACCCTACAACCCCACAAGGGGCCTTCTCCCCAGGACCTCCCCATCTCCCCGTGGTACCTCGGATGCCTTTCCTCTTGACTAAGCAGCACCAGGAAGCCCTGCCCCACCCAGCCTCTTCCCCTGCAATTGCATTCCACTCCTTCCACCTCCCCCCACAAAAAAAAATCCCTGTGCTCAGGGGGAAAAATCTCTTCAAGTTTCAAAGACTCAGGCTCCTTAGAAGGCAAAAGGGAGGTTATAAATAACAGCCAAGAAAGCTTCTTCCCGCTTCTCCCTCTGTTTCTAAGCAGTGAATTTGAATTTGTGCCTCAGCAGAGAATTTTTGAGCAGGAAAGTATGATTTCCCAGAATGTAAATGCTAGGAGAGGCACACTTGTGTTCACCCCACAGCATAGACAAGGGTGTGCTGGGCACAGCAGGTGCCAATGAGCTGAGAGCATTAGCTCAGGGCCGCCCGTCCTGTGGGGCGACCACAGGAGGAAAGCAGAAAGTGACTCTCTCCATGGCAGGGTGTACCCCAGGCCCACTGTGAAAGCCACCCTTCCCACGCTGCCCACACACAGCCAGCCTGGAGCTGGGTCGCATCATGGGTCATGGGGCTTCATCCTGTGAGTTCCACAACAAAGCACAGGCTTTCTTTCCGAGCACAGAGGGAGCAGAAGGCTTTTGCAATTATGCACTAAAATCCAGAAACTGTAGGGGAAATCTGGCATCATTTTAAAAAGAGAGAGAGAAGATATCAAGCATTTTTGCATGCCTGAAAATTCCATTCCAAAAGTCAAAAGAGAGATGACAACCTTCCCGGCATTTAGGGAGTTCCTGGATAGCAATAAGGGAAAGACCAGCCCATAAAGAGAAATGGGGCAGGGGCAAGCAGACAGATAAGGAAATCGCAATGGTCCTTTAGCACGTACAAAATGCTCAGGAGTCTCCCTCCTGAGTAGAAACGCTCTAAGATGTTATTTCCCACACAGAAGTCTGTCTTTCGTGTAGTTAGGCTGAGAGGACCCCCGCCCCACCCCAGTTGGCACCATCACTGTCGGAGCCAAGTTGATGATCACTGTAAGAATTTTCAATGTACACCTCCCCTGACCCAGCTACTCCACTTTTAGGGATTTCTTTTGCAAATAATAGCTGTATATATGAAAAGTGAAAGGCTGCTCCTTAAAGACACTGTTAGTGATAACCAAGGAGCTGGAATAGCATTGTTGTCCATAGACAAGAGTTTTTGATATACAATCTATAGTATATCCATACAGAACACTCCACAGCTATGGTTAGGGGGTGCCAGCGGGTATGCAAATCCCACCTCTGGCCCTTGCTTAGGGCAGTGGTTGTTCAGTACTAACAGAGGGAGAAAAGACAGGACAGGGAAGGAGACGAGCCAGGATAGGCAAAAGATAGAGAAAGGTGGAGGTCAGAAAGGTTTCTAAGGACCTCTTGACCATCAGGGTTGGCAGTCATGGACAGTCACCTGAGTGACCTTGCCCACTGAACCCTTAGGGAGCACAGACGTAAGGACCCTCCTGCCTTCAGTCACTGTTCTGCAGCCCTGCCACTGGAGCTGGGAATGATTCCGGCAGTACCTGTGGTTTCAAAAAGCTACAAACCCTGGTTCTGGTCATCAGGCCACATTCAAGTCATTTGAGGTCTGTCACTGCAAGCTCTGAACCTGGGGGGCATGAATCTTTAGGAGTGCATGCCAACGTGTCCACAACTAGGCACGCACATTTGGAAGAGAAGAAGGTATCCAACATTGCTTCAACTCCAAAACTGTTAAGAATCTCCCAACTCCCAAGTTATCAGAGCTATCCAAACCTACCCTATTTTGTCTACCTCCTACCCCTTTATACAAACTGGGTACACTGACTACCACAGAGGAGAAATGAGTAGCCTTGGACTTGGCAGCAAGTCAGGGGCGTAGCCAAGACTGCAATCCCATGGTCACTTGCTCCTGCCCAACGCTCCGCCTCAGCCATGCTGTCCCGCATCCTCCCACTCACCTATCAGGCACCGCAAGAGACAGGGGCGGGCCGGGGCCTGGGAGGTGGTGGTAGAATCTGGCTTCCTGCTCGTGGCTCTGGCCCAGCTCCTGGAACATGGAGCTGAGGCCAGCGACTGTCCCCTTCTGGATGGCACGGAGTGAGTGGCGCCGGTATTCATCCCGGGCACGCTGGGCTCCACGGCTCCTCTCCTCATCAGCTGCCTTGGACCTGCGCACTGGCAAAGCAGAGACAACGCCATCACTCAGACTCACAGCCCAGTCTGTGTATTGCACAGACCAGGACCGGGGACGGGCAGCACATAGATAGACCCCAGACTCACCCAGAGACCCAGGACACTTACACAGAGTGGGCCAACCCTACAGGGGCTGCATGGACATGCAGAGACTGGCACTCACAGGCCCAGGCAAACCCATCTCTGGTGGAGGTACAAACATTCCCAGCAGGGTCAGGTTGTCTGGTTGTTCCTGCAACCCCATTCCAGGATAAGCAAGCAATGTTTGGATGGAGATTTCCATCTCCATAGGTCCTTCTTCTGGGAGTACCCTCCTCAAAGCAGCTTCTCAAACTCTATGCTTCGTCACCAGGCTCCAATGCACCTGCCAGGGTCGTCAACCTCTCCAAATGCCAACACTGGTCACCCATGCCAATCACCCATGCTGATCATGCCCTCTCTCTCCCCAGGCAGGCTCTGAATTCTCCATGTGTTTATCTACTTTGTCCAACTGCCCACTAGGCCCTATCGCCAGTCCTGCTCCATAAGTGAGGACCCCCACACCCTGGAACATTACAAAGTAACCTGCCCAAAGCCAAACCTAAGCAAGGGAATACACAGTGTTGGAGTCCAAGTATGCTGGCTCCAAACCCCATACAGCCCTTTCCACCACACACAGGCTCAGTTCACTCCATGAATCTGACACCAGCGCTCTTTGCTACAAAAAGCCGAAGAAGCGGTCTGTGCTGAGGAATAGCGAGGAAAGCCGTTATCTGCAGCACCACTTGAGTCTCAACTACTCTGCTTCTAATCCAGCTCCCTGCTAATGCAGCAGGGAGTACCCAAGTCCTTGGGCCCCTGCACCTACCTGGGAAACCCACAAGCTCCTAGTGCTTTGTTTTGGATGAAGCTAGGCAGTTGTGGTCATATGGAGAATGAACCGCCAGAAGCAAGATGAAGGACTCTCGGACCCGCTCACTCGCTCACACGCTCACACGCACTCTCTCGCACTCCAGCTCTGCCCTTCAAATAAGTAAACTACAATTTTAAAAGTAATCAAGGCCAAAGGAGCCTCTAACCTGCTCATGTTACTCCTCTGGAAACTGAGGCCCCAGGAGGATGAGCAACTTGTCCCCCTGGATCAGCGGCCAAGTTGGGCCCGGAACGACACTTTCTGCTACCGCAGCATGAGTGGCGGGGAACACTGGTGTCCTTTCCTTTCTGAGTTCCTGTGACCTTGAGCGCTAACGGGTGTGAGGTGTGCATCGTGCATCAGGGGCTTCAGAGGAGGGGCCTCTCAGACAGGTGCATCCTTCAGAGGCAGGAAACACCTGCTGGACACAGGATGCAAGCAGCAGAAGCCAAAAAGCAGGTGTTCCAGGCAGAGGAAGCTCGGATGTGAGGCCCAGAGGCAAGAGAGAGCTGAGCTGGCCCTCTTAGGTCAGAGCCTGGAGGAAGGGGCTAAGAGGGGCTGAAGAAATAGAGACGATCATTTAGGAGATCAATAAACCTTGGCTTATGTGTTCTAATGCTTTCCCAAAAGGCCACTGAAAGCCCCTGGAAGGTTTTAAAGGGAAGATCAGGCTGCTGCAAGGGGATTTGAAAATGTTCATGGAAAAAAAAATGTGCATATTGCCCTAAAAATGATGCATGGATTCCAATTCATTTTTTGCACCAAAATAAATGAATGTTTTTTGATGTAGCTTTTAATTCTACTTTTCCACGCACCTTTAGAAGTCCCCTCACATTTGTGTTTTTAAAACACACATTGTTCCACTACATTTGGACTGAATTTGACAAAAACAAAGAAGGAAAGCAGAAATTCAGGCACAGAGCAAAGGGGACAAGAGAATGTCAGACAAGGGGTGCACACTCATGGAATGTTGAGACTAGGCTGGGCGTTTAGTGCACCAGCTAAGACCCTGTTGGAGCTGTCTGCAGGCTCTTCCGGCTTTTCATCCAATGTCCTGCTAAGGCATATCCTGGGGGGCAGAAGACAATGGCTTCAATGGCTGGGTCCCTGGCATGCACGTGGGAGACAGCATGGCTTTTGTGCTCCTGGCCTCGGGCTGGCTCAGTGCAGACTGTTGCAGGCTTTTGGGAAGTGACTCAGCAGGTGGGACACAGATACTTCCTCTTTCTGTCTGTAACTTTCAAATAAAATGAAAATAAGTTTTTAAAGGAGGTAGAATCCTCACAACTCAGTCAGTTTTTGCATTGGCAGCAAACAAAATGAGAAATTGAAATGACAGTGAACTTTCTGCCCCTAACAGAAAACTACACATCAAGTTGAAGAAGAGGACTGAGTTCGGGGCGTTTGAGAAAGCATGTCCATGGGAGTCCAGCAGGAAAGGTCCAGGAGTCACCTGCTCCTCGGGGTTCCCTTGGCCCGGCCCCACTTCCTTGCCCGGGTTAAAAAGAGTCAGTGCCTGCCAATACAGGATTTGGACCATCCAGCTGCATCCTGCAGAGGAGCTATGTGCCTCCAAGCAATAGCAAATGGTGGTGAACAACACCTGAAAAATGAGTGAATAATCCTACAGTACAAGAGAAGGCATCAGGAAAGATTCAGATTGTGCACATGTGTCAAGGCACTTAAACTCTTGCTCCAGGCAGTGTTGGGCAACCTGCATTACCCATACTTGGACTTGACTTATGCTTTATCTATCAAGTCCTCATGGGGTTGCCCTGAGCTGTGAGGCAGTTCACAGAGCAGGCTTGCAGAGCCCTGGGCACACTCAGAGGCTCTTGAGGTATCAGATATCTACTGTTGCTGGTCTCGTGTTAGCCATGAGAAACAGAGATGGCAAGGCCACCTTTGGAAGGAGTCCATCCCTAGATGCAGGTGGGGAGATGACTTGGGGATTGGGAATGGGACAAATGAAAGCTATGGAGTTGGGAGGGAAGGGCTAGGGAGAGAAAGGGGACTCCCTCACCCTGGGAAAGGAAAACAGGTGGCCCGGATGGTAAGGGGTAACTCAGCCAGCTAGAGACACTGACACTGTGGGGGGATGGGTGGGTTTGGCACCCAAAACAGCAAATCCTGACAGATGAACCTCCAGTAGGGCAAAGTTCAACCCACAGCTCTCTCTCCAACTCCTGCCTGCTTCCGGTGTTGGGTGCCAAGCTCCTTGTCCTTGGTGGCTGCCCACAGTGACCCCTTGTGTCATCTGGGAGACACTGCAGGAGTTCCTAGACACCCGTGGAATGTGGGAAGGACTTAGCCTAGGGAAAACACCGGGCCTTTCAGGTATCTTTGAGAAAAAGCAATCATCTGAGAGGTGCAGGCTGGCCCTCTTTCTAAGAGCACCCACAGGTGATGCCCAGAGATTGGGGAGCCTTTCAAACTACAGACATCCGTAACCCAAAATGATTCCAGTGGCCAATTCTTGCACTTGACAGCACACCCTGCGTTCAGTGGAAACTGTTTTGAATGTGGATCTTTCCCCAGTATAGTCCAGCACGGTCCTCCCAGTGCTGGACAGGCGGAGTGCCAGCCCCACACTCCGCAGGGTGCTGTGCTGCTCATTGTGACATGGGAGAGGTCAGGCATCTGCAATTCATGTTTCAGGATGTCACCCCACAGCAAGGCCACAAGTGTCTGGCATTGCAGCCAAAAGAAACTACACAATTTCCTGTTCATCAGTGCATTAGATAAAGCCTTTCTCTCAGGTCATCTTTCAGCTTAGCTTTCGGCTCAAATTCTGCTTAGCCACATCTCATTTCCAGGCCAGACAGCACCACAAGCCCCTTCAGATTCTACCTATCCTAAGCCTATGCAATTTTCAAGGATTTTTAAATTATTATTATTTATTTTTATCTACTTGAAAAGCAGAGACACAGAGAGAGGAAGAGAGATCTTCCACCTGCTGGTTCACGCTCCACAGCAGCCAGGGCCAGTATACCATGTGGGTACTGGTTCAAGTCCCAGCTGTTCCACTTCCAATCTAGCTCCCTGCTCATGTGCTTGGGATGGCAGCAGCAGGTGGCCCCCAGGCTTGGGCACACGCACCCATGTGGGAGGGCTTGGGCACCCGCACCCATGTGGGAGGGCTTGGGCACTCGCACCCATGTGGGAGACCTGGAAGAAGCTGTTGGTTCCTGGCTTAGGAGCAGCCCAACTCCAGCTACAGTCATCTGAGGAGTCCACCAGTGAGACTGAAGACCTCTCACTCTCTCTCTCTAGCTCTGCCTTTCTAATAAATAAATAAATAAATCTTAAAAATAATAGGGCCCGGCATGGTGGCCTAGCACCTTGAACGTGCCAGGATCCCATATGGGCACGGGTTCTAATCCCAGCAGTCCCGTTTCCCATCCAGCTCCTTCCTTGTGGCCTGGGAAAGCAGTTGAGAACAGCCCAAGGCCTTGGGACCCTGCACCTGCGTGGAGAACCCAGAAGAAGCTCCTGGCTCCTGGCTTCGGATTGGCTCAGCTCCGGCCATTGCAGCCACTTAGGGAATGAACTATCAGACAGAAGATCTTCCTCTCTGTCTTTCCTCCTCTGTATATCTACCTTTCCAATAAAAATAAACAAATCTTCAAATAATAATATTAGTCACTGATGTTCAATCCAGACTGCAAAATACACCTTTCAGAGAGTGATGGGAACACAGCCAATGTCACACACGTTGCCCTGGGCCTGAGTGCACATGTTGTACTCTGCCTTGTCGACAGCCTGGCTGGTGGTATGACAAGTGCTTGTAGATTGTTGCTCAGAGACCTCAACCCAAATCACACAGTTGAAGGGGCCAGGGGCGAACACAGGTCCTGCTAACAGCTCCAAGACCCTGCTTAGGTTTCTGTCAAGTAACCATACCAACTATCATGACTGCCCAATTTTTATACATGATATCTGTGGTGACAAGCTAGGCCATCTGTACATCTCCAGGCGGTTAGATAGTACCCAGCTCCACACCCCTACAAGTTCACAGGTGGAAAATTCGTAAATGAATTTTGGTTCCACACACATTCAGAGCTTCTCCAAAGCCAGGGCTCTGCTGATTCAACCAAGCAGCCAGCTCTGCAGTCAAGCGATGCAAAAAGGGATAATCCCCTTTCTTTCTAACTTGCAGAATTCAATTTGGATACTTTATCAGAAACTTCTGTTCCTCAGTGGATGAATGGCCCACTCTATCTTCCATATTAAATTAATTGAGTGTAGAATGCCTTTACAGGATTTGAATGACAGGCTCCGGAGTTTAGCTCATCATTTTTAAGCATAAAATGTGGAGCTGAAAATCAGGTAGCCTGAGTTATCACATCTATTGTCTATTTTTCAGAGGTTTTTTTCCCCCCTTTCACAAGTTGCCTCACGGGACATTGATGAGCAGCCAGGCAGCTCCTGGGCAAGGTGATTTTCTAGTCTCCATCCCTAATGGGACCAGCCCTGCTCTCAACTGCCCATCCCATGTGCAAAAAGAGGAGTGCCTCATAAGGGCATGGAACTTCACTCCCATTTCATTCCCCAGCCAGGCTCAACTCAGTGAGAAGAAACTGACCAAGAACCCATTCAAGCTCACGCTCCTATGCAGCAGGGCCATGCCAGGACTCCCAGTCCAGTGCTCCCTGCCCCCACACTGCAGCAGCCTCACATACCTCCCCTTTGTAACTATAAACCTCTGCCCTGCTTCTTTGTCCACTCTGAATTCAGACGAATGAATTGTTCCCTTCCACTTGTCCATCTTATCTTTGCAGCCTTATTTCTACATTTTTAACATTTAATCATTTACTTGAAAGGCAGAGTTAGAGATAGGGAGAGAGAGGAGAGAGTAGGAGAGAATCTTCCACCTGCTGGTTCACTCTCCAGATGGCCATGCTGACAAGGCCTGGACCAGGTGGAGGTCAGGAGTCAGAAGCTTCATCCAGGTTTCCCACATGGGGGCAAGGGCCCAATCACTTGGGTTATCTGCTGCTGCTTTCTGAAGTGCATTTGCAGGGAAATGGATTGGAAGCAGAGCAGCTAGGACTCAGATCGACATGACAGGTGGCAGCTTTACCTGTTATACTTCAACGCAGGCTCCTTCAGCCTCATTTTTCATCATCACCCAGCAAGAAGCCCAGGCTGTGGCCCCGCTGGGACATGTGCATGACCTATGTACAGCGAGGCCTTGCCTTGCTCAACACTGCTCCCTCTGCCATGACACCCTTCTCCTGCTTCTGACCTCCTTCACCTACCCATTTCTCCCAAACCAGAAGCCTTTCCCAATGCTCTCCTTGGTCTAGAGGAATTCTCTCACTCTGTCTCTCTCCTCTCCTGCCATCCCCATATTTAGGACACATCACTACTGAAACAACCACACATTGAATTGTGACGACTTAGGCATGGGAGGGTCTTCTTAAGCCTTGTGTCCCAGTGCCTCCTGTGGAACCCCAGTGGGACAGCCCTTTTGTGTGCCCGTGGCCCCCTCAAAGCCCTTCATTTGTGTGACTATCTTCTGTCCTGGTTGCTGAGTTCCTCTGAGCTACAGACTCACTGGGGGCTCCCCAGAACTTAGCACAGAGCAGGAAGTTACAGGCAACTCAGTAAAAGCAGCCTTGTATTGTAAACGGAAGAGATTCCCCGGGGTGAACATGTGAACATCTACTCTCGGGGAGCAGGACCACACAGACAGTGGGCCTAGGGTGCAGGCAAGCAGTGCAGAGTGTGGGCGCATGCACAGTGCTGGCCCCCAGGCCCCCAAAGCAAGCTTGACTCACACTGCTCCTCCCACTCGCGCTCCTCCTTCTCGCTGGGGTGGCAATGCAGCTGGGCCTGCTTCAAGGTCCAGTAGAGTTCCCTCGCCCTCTGTTCTTCCTGCAGGCGGATCTGTTCTTCACCTCGCTTCCTCTCCTCTTCCTCTTTCCTCTGAAACATCACAGAGACAGAATTACATGTAGATGACTGCCACATCATTAAGTAGAACAACCTTGGATGTGGCAACAGGTTAGGGATGGGTTATCAGTGCCGGTTGCCACACATGGGAAATGGCAGTGGTTGCTCCTAAACAGCAAGGCTGGGTAGGGATCAAAGGTGTGGAATGAATTACAGATACTGAAGCTTTCTGAGCCATGCTTGGGCAAGAGAGAGAGAGCAGAATCAAGGGCAGGTAGGACCGATACAGGATCCCATCTTGTCTTAACCCTATGTCTGAACAAGATGCTCACAGCCCACTGCACTGATACTAAAATGTATCTGTACTGTATCATGAACACACTTTCTTCCTGCTATTAGTCCCTAAGCAGTACAAACAGTCACTCAGCACTTTCATTGTCTTAGGCACTATAAGTAACACAGGGATGATTTAAGGCATATGGGATGATCTAACCAGGTTACACTCAAATGCTATGTCATTTTACATAAGGGATTTGAGTGTCCATGAACTTTTAGAACCTACAGGGTGAGGGGCATATCCTGGAACCAGTTCCCAGATTAGCCCAGGGATGACAGAATTTCCCAAGAGACAGTAGGTTTGGGAGTCCTATATCCCCCATTTCTGCCCTAGTTTTAAGCTCCTAAGAAGGACATGTGTGTGTATAGGCCCATGAGTACATATGTATATTTTCTTGGTATGTATCTGTTAAACATGCATCCATGAGCTGAAATCAGATCATCAACAATATCAGTTTTCTGAGTCACTTCACCCACACTAAGCCAGTTGGCTGTTACTTCATATGACTACGTCCATATATCTAATGCGGCTAGTTCTTGATTTATCAAGTCTGGACATTAAATATCACCTATCTTCTTGGTACTTTGGAGTGGATCTCTCAGAAGTGAACATTTATACTTTCCCTCTCCTCATCCACACTGTACATTCACATCACCACACCTGTGGTTGCATCAATAATATCCTAAGCCTCTGCTAAGCAAACCAATATCGATTGCAACCCTGCACGTCCTAAGGACAATCAGGTGACTGTCCAGAGAGCAGAGCTGTTCCCACCGATCTCTTGCCCCATCTCTCAACCCTTCCTGACATACCAAGCATTGAACTTTCCCTTTCAACGTCCCATTTTCTTCTGGTAAGATGAAGGGATTTAGCAGACTATAAGAAAATGAAAATGGGGACATGTGGATCCGGTCACTCCACACAGAAACACAGCCAATCCCATATCCTGAGGCCCAGCCGGCGCCTCCAAGCCCTAGACTGCAGGACTCCATCCTGAGCCTGCTCACTTTCATCCCCTCCCTACAGGTGCCTTACAAAGCTCCTCATCGAGCCCCCTCTCTCTTTCAGCTTCAGTGTATTCCTGGACGCTTTCTCACCTGTTCTCCTCTGCCTACTTTCTCTGTCCTTGTGGTAACTTTCTCTGTCCTTTGGTATTATTTCAACGGCTCAAGAAGAGACAAAAATGAAGATAACTATGAAGTTTTAATCTCTTCGTTAGACAATAAAAAGGCTTTTGTGACTTCTGGAGTGGTTCAGACAGAAAACTTCTCTCTAAGGATGGCTAGTGTTCACAAATGTGTCCAAACTTGGGAGTTTGGTTCCAATTGCTTTATGTTAATGGCATTAAAGGACAGATACTCAGTCCAATGGTAGAGTTCCCAAGTAGGGCCTTGGGAAATGAGTACAATGGATTGGGTCATTAAGGTGGAGTCCAGGCTAGTTTTATAAGCATAGCAAGAGACAAATATACCCCGAGTCTCTTGCCACGCCTGCTGGGTCCCACTTGAGGGCTCTGCTAGCAAGAAGAGGCCAAGCCAATGAGACCCACCTAATCTTTCTTACATTAGGCTGACTCAAGTATTTCATTGTAGTAATAACACTGGCACATAAACAGATTAAATGTTTAACTGCAAAAAATAGACCAAGTTCCTACTTCTTAACAACCCAGTGACTAAGAGTTGCGAATTAAAAGCCAAAGAAATTAAGCAGCTTGTCCAAATATTTACCGAGTTTTTACAAGGCCAGCCTTGCTCTAGGAACTAGGGTTATAGCCATAAAGAATACAGATTCAGTCCCCACTACGGCAGAGCCAGCCTTCCAATGGTAATCAGCCTGTGTGTGTGTGTGTGTGTGTGTGAACGGGGCCTAAGCAAAACACAGCACCTGTGGAAAGGGATGTGGCAGCCTTGGAAGCAGCCCAGGATCTTACACTACAAAGTCCTGCCCAAGGCCCAGTGTGATGGTTCAATTGGTTAAATCCTCACCTTGCAAGAGCCAAGATCTTATATGATTCAAATCCTGGCTGCTCCACTTCCCATCTAGCTTCCTGCTTGTGGCCTGGGACAGCAGTAGAGGATGGCCCAAAACCTTGGGACTCTGCACCTGCGTGGGAGACCTAGAAGAAGCTGCTGGCTCCTGGCTTCAGATCAGCTTAGCTCCGGCCATTGTGGCCACTTGGGGAGCGACCGAGTGGACGGAAGATCTTTCTCCTGTTCTCTTATAAATCCGATCTACTTTTCTAATAAATAAAAACAAAATCCTGTCCAGATCCCCTAATATAGGTGTTCTCAGCCTTTTCTCCCAAGAAAATTACCCTGGGAATAATCCTGTTTGGCTGGTGCCAAAAGAGTTGCCCAGGGTAATAACATTGGGTAATAATGCCTTGGAAGGAATGTCACCTATTTCACAACCAGCAAACCCTTTGTCTAAGAGATGTCATGTGTGAATGTAGATGGAACAGCCCTTACGGTCAGGGGAGCCGCCCATCCTTTCTGACAATGCACTACCATGTGAAGCCTTGTTTCGGCGCTTGTGTCTCATGCCTGAAATTCCTTTCTTACAGGAGGCCAAAGCCTCCTACCATCCATCTCCGCTAGCAAATTCTCTTCATCTCCAGAATCAAACAGCACCCACGGACCCACAGGTCTACAGCAAGCTCCAACCACAAAGCACATGACTGGTCACTCCCTAGGGCAGGGCTCTTGACAACAGAAGCAGACACACTACAATGGCAAAGAGACAGAATTGCATCCTTCTCCCCCTGGGTCTTGCCAAAATGACTCAACCCTCAGAGCTGAATTACCTATTTAAATTTTCAGTGTGGTTGCAACTCTCAGAATCTTTGGGCCAAGCTGAGATTGTTAAGGCAGCGTGGTAGATATTAGCCTCTACGTGTAAGAGGAGCCAAAGAAAATGATGGCATAGATGTGTGTGCAATGCAACAGGGAAGCCAGACCTGAGAACAGGATGCAGCCTCTTGTCTGTCTCTCTTAGCTCCAGGTCTCCCTGCCTATCTCTTATCACAAAGAATTCACTGAATTGAGGGAACAAGACAGCTGGTCCAACAAGATCAGAATCCCTGGCTGAAGCAGTCATTTACTTGTCCAATAGATAAGAACCTTGGTGTTCAGTACTGCCCTGAGGGGTTTGTTCAAGAGAATTCCATAGCTGAAACCTCCCCACCCACGTTTTCCCAGAAGAGGAAGGAGGGGAGAAAAACCACGGACCCCTTCTCAGACCCCTAAAAATGCCAGTCTGAAGGTAGACTGGTCTCTCAGTCCTCTACTTAGACACCTGCCTGGCCCGTCAGGTGTAGCAATTTCTGTCGCTTCACTTTTTCCAATAAACTGCTAAAATCACCTTCCTGTCTGCTCACTCACTGGCCACATTCTTCACCTTCAGCAGAACAAGTTCCCAGGCTTCAAATCACTGCAAAAAAAGAAACCGTTCTTTTTGCCAAAAAGAAAGATCTGTGCAAACAAACAGCAAATACATAGACCCTCCTTCACCCAGAAACCAGTCGCCATGTTCTGGAGATGAGCACTCCAGCTCATCTCACTTCCCCCGATAAACTATCAGTAACAGCAAAGCACAGCCACCCAGATGCCCCAGTCCGCCTCGGGCCGGTGGAATATCTCATCCAGACAAATGCTCTTCCAGGAAAGCAAGGTGGTTTTTGTTGTTGATCTAACTCCAATAATATGACTGGGCTGTATGTCATGCATTCCTCCACCGCAGTTCTCAGAGTAGCAGGTGCTCCTAAAAACACCACCTGAGGGAAACAGTGAATCAGCAAACAGTTGACAGCAAGACAGGGTCCAAGGAGAGAAAGGAACCCTCAGATCATGTTGTCTTGCTCATGTCAATCTTGTCCCACTCAGGTGAAGTCTAAAATTTTCAAGAGAAAACAGACAAGTAATACGTTTCTGGGTTCAAGTAACGGCATAGTGTGTGAAACTGCTGTCTGCAATACCAGCATCCTATATGGGCACTGGTTCCTCTCCAAGCTGCTTCACTTCCAATCCAGCTCCCTGCTAATGGCCTGAAAGGCTGCAGAGAATGGCTCTAGTGTCTGGCCTCCGCCAAGCACATGAAAGACCCAGATGAAGCACCTGAGTCCTAGCTTTGATCTGGGGGAGGAGGGCAGTAGAATGGGGGTGGCGGGGCTCACCAACTGATGGAAGCTGTCTGAGTTTTAAATACATCAACCTCTTAAAAATAAAAGAAAGCACATTTTCGTCACTTGTAATCTTACTGCGATTAAGGTAGCAATAAATAGTTTATCTACTTGTAGAATGTGTCATTTTTTCCTCATTTTTTTCTTTATTTTTGACAATCTTTACATACTTAATTAGGGCACAAAGATTTAAGGGCTACAGGAAGATGGGTGACTATTATTTCCACATTCTCTTTTTTTCTGCATCTGGGATAAAGAGGGAGATAAATGGAAAAGCCCTACCCAGCCCCCCACCCATTCCAAGTTCCCCGATGTGGGGCATGCTCCGAGGGTCCTGCTCGAGTGCTTTTGATATTTCAACAGTTCTGAATTGCTGCCAATCTCGCCATTCCAAGCATGATGAAGTTGTTGCAGAATCCACTGATTGACATAGTCCATCTTAGAGTCTCCGTTTGCCCAGTTTTTCACTGCCAACATATGGCTGGGGTAGTTGATTGATTTGTTCTGTCCTCTGTTGTGGTGCCAGGTATCCTCTGCCAGTTCTGATAGACTGCCACATTCTCCATGTGCACCTGATTGTGCTGTCCACTGCTCCGTCTGAGCCTCTGAGGAGGCTCGGCTCTGGCATTTGCACTCCATTGCAGACCATGGAACCTGTACTTCTCTTCATGGTTGGGGTTCTGAATCCAGTAGTTCAATTGCAGAGATCCCCAAAGAAACTGTCTGAGGTGTTCCCAGACCAGATGCTTGTGTGTACTTACAAGTACAGGATCTGGCACAATCCATCACCCCAATCAGCTGGTGGTTTCAATTGCTGGATTGGTTCTGTTTCCAACCCTGTCTTCCACTAGAACCAATGGGTATTGCAGTCCAGCCTGATTCTGCCCAGCACACACTTGGCCCTCACATAAACCAATGGGAGCTTACATCCTAGTTGGAGCGACACATAATAACCCCCACCAGACCTGACCCTGCCCTAGTTCTGGTGTTTGCCATTGTGTGCAGCAGACTAGTACAGCCTGTCCCAAATCCTATTCAGCTCTCGTACATGTAAACGGCATTGAAGCTTAGTTCAACCCAACCAGCTCCACTATCCAGACCACACACACGCTGGTGGGTGCCATTCTGTCTAGCCACCCCTGTCCCAGTCCTGGTTTTCATGCTCTCCAGTGGAAGTGGTAAACCAAGAGGGAGGAGCCCACTATTTCCCTCCTAAGCCACTCCCACTCCAGATCATGCACTTTCCAGATGGTTCTGTGTTTTGACTTGAGAGATTAGCTACCAGTGCCAGCATCTGCTATCTGATGCTGTGGCAAAGCCCAACCAACCCTCACCCATTCTGCTTTATGTTTGCACCAGTAGGGACAGTCAACCAAGCCTGGCTCTTCCCTGATCTGGCTCACATGAGGCCCACAGGTGTTGTAGCCCTGCCCGGTCTGGTCTGCCCCCACCCCAACTCATGCTCTCCTGTGGGTGAGGTGTTCCAGCAAGGTCCCTCCACATTCCCCTACCAGCTTTACCCCCTCCCTTCCTGGTTCCTACTAGTGCTACGTCCCAGTCTGGCATGGCCTGCCTCAACTCGACATTTGTTAGTGGGTGCTGTAGCCGACCCAGCCTGGAGCACCCCCAATTCCAGCTGGTGGAGGTTATAGTCTAGCCCAGTCCAGCATGTATCCTATCCCAGCTGTAATGTATATTGGTACATGTGCAACCATACCTGGCCCAACCCATACTGTTCTGGTGCTCGGATTCATCAGCGGCTGATGTGAACTGGTTCAGCCTGGTCTGCCCCTGACTTGTACCAAATGTATGCCAGTGGGTATCTTTCCCTAGCATGGTCTGGGCTGTTCCTTCTCATGCTTCTTGTACTTACCCGCAGGGGCTGTGTCCTGCCAGAGGAGTTGCCCAGGCTCCTCCATCAGAACCCTTCCCAATGCCAGATTTCGCACATATCGGTGGGTCCATGAGCCAGCCCTACTCAGTCCACCTCTTGTCCTAGAAGAAACAGTGACCTTTCCTGATTGGCCTTCTGTCTCTTTCTGTAAAATCTGCCTTTCCAATAGCCATAAATAAATCTTTAAAAACTAAAGTCTTAATGGAATACAACCACACCCACTGGCTTCCACAACAGAATCTATATGCAGCCACAGAGACACTATGCTCTAAAGCCATAAACTGTTTAAAGCCTAAAATATGTACGATTTGGCTCTTTTTTGACAGCAGTTTACTAATTCCTGGGTAAGACTGTCCTGATGACTGTAACTTCTTTTCAGATAGTTTAGCAAAACCACAATGACAAAATCTGTACATATAAATATATACTAGAGAAACAGAAACAGGGATAGGAAGAGTGAAAATATGGCAAAATACTAATAAGCAATGAATTCGGGTAGAGAATAAATGAATGTTTATTCTCTTCTTTCAGCTATTTTCTTTTGTTCTTCTATACGTAATTATATATATATATTTTAGAGAGATTTATTTATTTTTATTAGAAACTCAGATATATACAGATATATATGTGTATTTGTGTGTATCTATATAAATAGATATAGATATATACACAGAGAGGAGGAGAGACAGAGGAAGATATTCCACTTCACTTGCTGGTTCACCCCCCAAGTGGCCGCAATGGGAGCTAACTGAGCAGATCCAAAGCCAGGAGCCAGGAGCTTCCTCCAGTTCTCCCACGCAGGTGCAGTGTCCCAAGGTCTTGGGCCATCCTCAACTGCTTTCCCAGGCCACAGCCAGGGAGCTGGATGAGAAGCATATGTGATAACAACGCATGCAAGGTGAAGACTTTAGCCATTAGGTTACTATGCCGAGACCAAGACAGATTTTACAGAGAGAAAGAGAGATAAAGGGAGGGTCTTCTTTCTGCTAGTTCACTTCCCAAATGACCGTAATGGTCAGAACTGAGGTGATTCGAAGCCAGGAGCTTCTTCCCAGATTCCCATGTGGGCTCAGAATTCCAAGCCTTGGGCCATCCTCTACTGCATTCCCAGGCCATCAGTAGAGAGCTGGGTGGAAATTGGAGTAGCCAGGCCATGAACTGGCTCTCATGCGGGATGCCAGCTCCATAAGGCACCCATAAGCTCCATCAGCTTGCTGTGCCACCACACCAGCTTTGTTAAAAGTTTAACAAAGAAGAAGCTTGAAAAAACAGAAGATAGGTGTTACATTTCTTAACAAAACAATTCAATGGTTCAGTTATGTAAAAATGTCCATTTTGCACAGTAAGCTGTGTTTTGTCTTTGATGACACAATTTGCAAACATTACAGCCTTGGGATTCAGTAAGGTTATTACTTTCTTCTGTCAACTCATCTCTAGTTTCCTTGTTTCCTTCTCTCCCCTCCAAAGTTTATTAATGCTACAGTAAATTAACTAATTAGTTAATTAACCTCAACCTAATGACAAAGTAAAAGAATATATTTTTTTTCAGGCAACCTAAGCTTACTACCAGCGGACAAGAAAACTCCCTTACCAATTCTGAACTTTCCAGAAGGGAAGACAGTCACGCCAACAACTCCCTATCCTAGATCAGAAAAATACACATACCTCATTTTGAGCTCTCATTTTTTAAAGTCCCTCAAGCAAGGATATCCTGACACACAAGGAAACAAAGATCAAAGGCTCAGAGAAGTCCCCAAATCTCTCCTCAAGGTGACACGTCTCCCCAGGGTCCCACAGCAGGAAGCAACAGAGTGGGAACTGGGTCACAGGCTGACCAGACCCTCTGTTCTTCGCAAGCTTCACTTGAGAATCCTTATTAGTTTGGGTACAGAAGGCATAAGCTCTTACCCTGACCCTTATCCCCAACCATGTATACACGCGGCCCTGGAAAATCTCTCCCTCATCCGTACAAGAAGCGGATTGTTTCAATGGTGAGTGTCAAGTTTCTTTCTGCTCAGATGGGTGTGCTCTACAACACACAGTGCCATTCAGGACCAGAGACCAGATCCAACCACAGATCAGCTCCCCTCAGCACTGTGACTCCCCAGCCCACCTTGAACTCCTCGTGGATGCGCTCCTCCAGGACCTTAGCAGCCTTGCGGTCCTCCATCTCCACTTTCCATTTCTCCGCCAGGATCCGGGCTTTCTCGTTGGCTAGAGCATCCCGGAACTTCTTGGTGATCTCTGCCTCCTTCTGTCTCCTTCCAAGAAAGCACCAGCAAAGATAAGCTTGAGCAAGCAAACAAGCTGAACGACCACCCAACAATGGGAGTCCCACTAAGGACTCACTCCTGGGTCTAACAGGATGGCAGACACCCCAGGTTAGCACGATTCAGTAGCAGTAAAGGTGGGAAAAAACATTCAGGAGTGTCAATCAACAGAGCCATTCTGGAAGTCAGGAAAAGACTCAGAAAGCACATTTTTCACTCAAGGGTACCAAGGTCTGTAACACTGAAAAATCTTGTCAAGGGCTGGCACTGTTACCTAGTGGCTACAGCTGATTCCAGCCACACCAGCATGCCATATGGGAACTAGTTTGAGTCCCAGCTGCTCCACTTCCGATCCAGATCTCTGTTAATGGCCTGGGAAGAGTAGTGGAGGTTGGCCCAAGTGTCTGGGCCAAGTATCTGTCGCTCATGTAGGGGATCCAGATGAAGCTCCTGGTTCCTGGCTTACACCTGGCAAATGCTGGCCATTGAGGCCATCTGGGGAATGGGACAGTGGATGGAAGATCTCTCTCTCTGCAACTCTTTCAAGTAAATAAATAACTATATATCATGAAAAAGTTTGAGGAGACATAGAAGAAAAATAAGCTTATTTTGGTGCAAAACAAAGCACCTGGAAACCATACCTAATTAATGAAGTTTTCAAAAACTTCTTATATGTAAAAAAATATTTTAGAGGACTTTTAAAGATTATTTTTAAGTCTGTGTAGGGCCCAGCGCAACAGCTCAATTGACTAATCCTCCCCCTTCAAGCCTTCAAGTACTGGAACTCCGTATGGACACCAGTTCATGTCCCAGCTGCTCCACTTTCTGTCCAGCTTCCTTCTTAAGGCCTGGGAAAGCAGTAGAGAATATCCCAAAACCTTAGTACCCTGTACCCATGCAGAAGACCTGGAAGAAGCTCCTGGCTCCTAGCTTCGAATCAGCTCAGCTCCAGCCACTGCAGCTACATGGGAAATGAATCAGAGGATCGAAGATCTTTATCTTTCTCTTCCTCTTCTCTGTAAATCTGCCTTTCCAATAAAAGTAAATAAATGTGCTTTTATATTTTAAAGAAAAGGGGGAAAATCAGAGTAGCTGGATAGAAAGTAAAGCAGTCAGGGTCCCAGTATGGTAGTCCAGCAGCTTGCATGCACCGGGATCCCATACAGGCATCAGTTCTAATCCTGGCGGCCCTGCTTCCCATCCAGCTTCCTGCCTGTGGCTTGAAAAAGCAGTCAAGAACGGCCTGACGCCTTGGGACCTTGTACCAGCGTGAGAGACCCAGAAGAAGCCCCTGGCTCCTGGCTTTGGATTGGCTCAGCACTGGACTTTGAGGCCACTTGGAGGGTGAATCAGTGGTTGGAAGATCTTATTCTCTGTCTCTCCTCCCTTCTGTATATCTGCCTTTCAATAAAAAATAAATAAATCTTTTTTAAAAAATGAAGCAATCAGGACACAAACCAGCACCCATAATGGATGCCAGTATTGTACATGGCAGCTTAATCCACTACACCACTATGCCAGCCCAGTCGCAGGACTTTTCATTACCTGCAACTGGTAAATATCTCACTGGTAAAACTCACTATAATAGCATCAGTGAATTGTGCCTCTCATGCAGTAGAACCCCATATCGTTATCTTACATGGCAGTGGGAGTGTATTTTAATCCATATGTCAGGAAGTGAGCAGAACATGAGTCATCTAAATGCTCCCCATGGCTGGCTGAGGAGACAGTTGTAGGTTCGTCCGTGATCTGTCCTCCTTCATTTTCAGTATTGTTTGATTTCACAATTTTACAGTTGAAGCACTGACATTAAAGATGGATGGGCCAAGTTCAACTCAACCTTACATGGACTTCCAAATTTGGACCAAAAAAAAAAAAAAATTAAATTATGACACCAACTGTCACCTGAATATGCATGAAAAATGTAGGTAACATGAAGAGGAAAAAGTCAGTGATGAGATTGAATCCCAACTACTACTCATTCCCAGTAAAAACAAAAGCAAGTTATACGTGTCATCTCAGTGAGTCCAACCTGAATTCCTATATTAAAGGTGACGCCCACACCAGAGATGGGAACCCTGAGGCCACAGGTCAGTTAACTTCCAATTGGTGGTATCAGGATTTGAACCCACACCATTTCTCTGATGTAACATTCCACTGCTTTGGTCAACTATTGTCAACAGAGCTCAAACAACCAGCTGACCAGAGGCACCTTCTCCCACCCAAAGCCAATTGTCACCAGTGTGCACCCGGCCAGCAGGCCTGAACACTCTCACCAGAGCTCCTCAGCCTCCCTCTGGGCCTGCAGCCGTGCCCTCTCAGCAATCAGCTCCTCAGAGATGTCCTCATAGGGCTTGTCTCCAGGGCCTTCTCCCATGATCCAGACCCAGACTTCACCATCGGCACCCAGGAGCCACTGGATGTGCTTGCCGCTCGCTGCCTCGCAAGGAGAAGAGAACAGAGAATAGAAAAGCAGTAGGTTTGAGTTCCCTTAGCAAAGGATGGTCCCAGCTGACCGATGCACACAACCATCACGCCCCTCTGCACACTGCCATCACTCCATATGAAAGTCTCTGGAGGGACATGGGCAGCAGGCAGGCCTACAATTCCCCACCCCTCTGTCTCCCTCTAAGGAACAACACAAGAGCCAAGGCAGGCTCCTGCAGCTGATGGACAAGGCAGGAACTGATGTCTAGAACCGAGCTCTCCAGAGCTCCCCAGCAGAGAGCAGCGTGCAATAGTCTGAAGGATGTGACCATAACACTCCAAGGTCCATGCAGTTAGGAGCTGGGGAGTCCCCTCTGGGCTCTTCCTCGTAGGACCTGCTGGAAGCAGCATAGGAGATTGGGGCATTGTGCCATGAAGCTGTGTGTCCTACATCAGCCTGTAACATGAGCAAAGGATGCACCCATGTTACATTCAGTCTCTGAGATTTCTCAATTTGCCTCTGGCCAAAGATTCCATTGAGGACCACAACCATGGATGTGGAGGCCTGTCTGAAATGAGGAGCTGCTAACACAGCAATTAACAAGCAACATCCCGTGCCTTAGCCTTCAGGTGAGTGAAGTTCAGGGGACTCAACAGCAGGAAAGCTGAGTCACACAGGAGCAACGCCATGGGCGAAACTGCCACATTCCATAACTCACACAGCAGCTCTCCAAGGAAAGAAGTTGGAAATGAATTGTTAAGAGTGTGTTGGTTGCTAATGGCTGCATTTGATAAAGAGTAAGGAGAAAGAAATAAGTTCAACAAAGAATCTGGGGTAGGCATTTGATCTAGAAGTTAAAATATTAGTTGAAATGGCCAAATCCCAGGGTAGTTCCTGGGCTCAATCCTCAGCTTTGGATTGACTCCAGCTTCCTGCCAATGTGGATCCTGGGAGGCAGCAGATAATGTGGCTCAAGTGACCTGGACTGAGTTCCTGGCTACCAGCTTTGTCTCCTCCAGCCATTGCAGGCACTAGGGAGTGACCTAGCTAATGGGGTTCTGTGTGTGTGTGTGTGTGTGTGTGTACGCGCGCTCCTCTTTGCCTTCCAAATAAACAACAACCCCCAAGAAGTTTTAAGAACAAAATTGAACCCTTCACAAGTAAAATGAAAGTGAATAAAAGAGAATACAGATTGGAGCTTAGGAGGTTTGAAAAAATCCTTTTCCACTTCTTCTAGGTCACAAATTGCAAGAGATGGGATTTTTAAAAATCTTTGTATAAACAAATCCAATAAAATTTTAAAATATTTATTTGCTTATTTAAAAGATAAGATAAGCTTCCAGCTTTTGGTTCACTACCCAGGTCCCTCAAAGTCTTCAGTTAATGGTTCTTGAGGAAGTGAAAACTCAGCCCACTTATGATGTCTACTATCCAGGACTTTGAGAATAACTCTATCGTATTAAATCACTGGGGCAGGGGGTGTCCTCAGGATTGAAACCTGCTAACTCTAGGAAGGCAGAGAGATAACCATGTACCCCCAGCTCTTGTTGTATGATGCTCAGTGCCATCTTGGAATTCTACCAGCAGAAACTCCGTCACCACAGGCCACACCCATGGGCCCACCCACTCTTTTATTTTAGATGATGTTTACATAGTCAATCAGGGTGAGAAGGATCTAGGATTAGGGAGAAATGGGTATGGTCATTATTTCCAAGCTTTCTATTTCGTTTTCCCATTTCTAGGGCGAGGGGGAGAGATAGGGGGATAGGCCATACCCAGCTTCCCAACTATCCCAGTACCCTACCCAAGGATGGAGAAAGGCCAGGGTCACAATGGCGCATGTTCTGAAGGTTCTGCCCACGTAGTTTCGGTAGTTTCAAAATGCTGTTGATCTCGCCAATCTACGGATGAGGAATCCCTTCCAATGTCCGTTGGCTGACACCATCTACCTTATAGTCTCCAATTGCCTGGATATTTGCTGTCATTGTTTGGCTGGAGTATATTCTGTTCTCCATTCTCCACTATGGTACCAGATGTTTTCTGCAGGCTGCAATGAGCTGACATATCCTTCATGTACACTATGGTTGGCTGTCCAGCACTCCATCCTCTACAGTGAGGAGGACCAGTTCTCCTAGGTGGGCTCATGGGCCTGAGCCAGGTGACTTGGGCCATGCTGGATCCCTCATCCGTGGGACTCATGGTCCCAGTCACTACCACACAGGCGGGCTCAGTGAACCGGACCAGGAGCCCCAGACTCCTGTGATCTAAATAAACCTTGTCTGTTTAAAAAGTGAGTGGCCTCCACTATCTCACAGCATAATAAAAACTGGCTAACACAATCTGCCTTTACGAGAAAACAGGAAAACACAGCACACGAAGAATGTAACACTACCTCCCCAAATATGCACAATTTTATTATTTTTTTAAAGATTTATTAATCTTGGGCCCGGCACGGTGGCACAAGTGGTTAAGTCCTCGCCTTGCACGCCCGGGTTCCCATATGGGTGCTGGTTCTAATCCCGGCGGCCCTGCTTCCCTTCCAGCTCCCTGCTTGTGGCCCGGGAAAGCAATCGAGGACGGCCCAAGGCTTTGGGACCCTGCACCCGTGTAGGAGACCTGGAAGAGGCTCCTGGCTTCGGACCGGCATAGCATCAGCTGTTGAGGTCACTTGGAGAGTGAATCATCGGGCGGAAGATCTTTCTCTCTGTCTCTCCTCTCTGTATATCCGCCTTTCCAATAAAAATAATAAAAATAAATCTTCCAAAAAAAAAGATTTATTTATCTTTAGTGGAAAGTCAGATATACAAAGAGGAGGAGAGACAGAGAAAGGTACTCCATCTGTTGATTTACTCCCTAAGTAGCCACAACAGCTGGGTCTGTACTGATCCGAAGTCAGGAGCCAGGAACTTCCTCCAGGTCTCCCATGCAGGTGTGGGGTCCCAAGGCTTTGGGTTGTCCTCGACTGCTTTCCCAGGCCACAAGCATGGAGCTGGATGGGAAGCGGGGCTGCTGGGATTAGAACCGGCACCCATTTGGATAGGTATTTTTTTCTCCTAGCGGTTTGTTGGGGGCTAAGGAGTTGATTAGTGAGTGTTACCCTGGGCAGGAACAGGAACTGGGCTTGTGGCTAAAAACACCTAGACTAATTGGACTCATCTGTATCCAATATCCTGCTCAATGAGGATGTGGGGGAAGAGTATTTAAGGAGAGGTGAAGGAGCAATAGATACTTCACAGAGACTTCCATCATCACTGGTCTCGTGCTTCATCCCCAGACCCTCTCCATGTCCACGTTACTGGCTCTGCTGGCCGGAGAGGTGGTTGACATTGCCACTTCCCACATCCAAGTACCTAGGTTTGAGTCCAGGCTCTGGGTCCTGACTCCATCTTCCTACTGATGCAGACCCCGGGAGGCAGTGGTGATAGCTCAAGGGATTGCTTCCTGCCACCCACAGGAGAGACCTGAATTGGGTTCCTGCTTCGCAGCTTTGGAGACCCTGGGCCACCCTCAGATGTTTCGAGCATCTGATGAATGAACCAGCCAATGGGAACAAGCTGTCTGTTCCTCACACAATAATTTTATTCATGTATGTATTTATTTAACTTAGTTATTTTATGATAGAGTTCTGTGGGCTCTGGGATTTCCCCCACCCTCCCCAAATCTCCTCCCCCCACTGGTTTCCCCTATATTATTACAATAGCAAAGCCCTTCAAAAACAGCTGTAAGTCCATCATTCTGCACTGCAGCTACAGACAATGGCAGACAGTCTGGCATCCTATTGTCAAGATATATTTAACAGGGTCTGGTATGGTAGCCTAGTGACTAAAGTCCTTGCTTTGCACGCTCTAGGATCCCATCTAGGCACTGGTTTGTGTCCCCACTGTTTCATTTCCCATCCGGCTCCCTGCTTGTGGCCTGGGAAATCAGTCGGAGATGGCCCAAAGCCTTGGGACCCTGCACCCATATGGGAGACCCGGAAGAAACTCAAGGCTCCTGGCTTCGGATAGGCTCAGCTCCAGCCTTTAGAATGGATGGAAGATCATTCTCTCTGCCTCTTCTTCTCTCTGTATATCTGCCTTTCCAATCAAAATAAATAAATCTTTTCTTTTTTTTTTAAGATAAAGAAAGAGGGGTAAAGGCTATGAAGAGACCTTTCTGGAAAGAAGACCTTCAAATGGCCAATAGGTATATATATTTTTAAAAACCCCACTAAATATCACCAGTCATCACAAAAATGGAAAATTCAAATCACAGTGAGGTTTCATTTCACACTTAAAAGGACAGCGGTTATCAGTAAGACAAAAGGCAACCAGTGCTGTCCAGGATAAGGAAGAGTGGGAGCCCAGCATGCTGTGGGTGTGAATGCAAATTAGTTCAGCCATTACAGAAAAAGGTATAGAAGTTTCTCAAGAACTTAAAAATAGAAGCATGCTAGAATCCAGCAATCTCACTGCTGGGCAGCTACACAAAGGAAATGACATCTATATGTTAAGAGATGTGTGCATGCCATGTTAATTGCAGCATTATGCAGAATTGCTGAGATAAATAATCAACCTGACCACTCATCAATTGACTCATGGATAAGAAAAATGTGACATGAGATTCTACTCAGCTTTAAAAAACTCTTTTTCACAGGGTCTAGGTATGAGAACTTAACCACAGTGGCCAGAAAATCAGATAGGCTTTAGACATGGATGATTCCTGAGGCCTGAAGTTATGAAATTTTGGAACGATCTAGGCAAAATAGCTGAAATAGTAAAACAAACAAAAAAAAAACCGAACCCCAAAGAATTTAGACCTTGGAGTATAATGCAAAATCCATTTCCAAATGGAAAAAAAATCATAAAAAGCGTTGCTCAATCCTATATGAGAAAAACCTAGAAAGCAGTAATGTTGATTCCTCCAGGAGCTAGCAGAACTGTTACCTTAGCCCAGATCCTCTGAGCTGGGGTCGGATTACAACCAGCCATACTGGGAGTTGGAAGGAGAAATATGAAGAGATGGCAGGGATG